AACTTTGCAGATCATCAAACTATATCACTATGTCACTGTCCAGCCTCATCAACACTTTTTTTTTTTTTAGGTTTTGGCCTTAGGGCATGTATGCCTCTTAGAGAGACAGAATGAGGAAAAGTGAGAAATCACCCCCTAGGAAGGATGGTCACACCTCAGTTTCTTTTTCTACATTATCATCTCAGGATTTTGGGCATGCATGCACACAAGCCCAGTGTTATTTTGAAGTTACTGGGTCTGGGACTCGAATTGTATAGCCAGCCACGTGGGATTCAGTGCCTTAACCACCATGCCACCTCCGGTCCGCATCAATTTATTTTTTAAGGCCTCACTCAAACGATACCCCCTCTACAAAACCTTCATTGAGATTAATTCCTTTTTCTTCCAATTTTCCATTCCATCAGGATCCCGGGTGTGTACCTAGTGTGTTTTTTCCAACTGCTGGGGCCAGAATTCTAACCCTGGTGAGCCATATGGAATCCAGCTTCCTCTGTGCAGAATTTAGCCACTGAACTATAAGGGCTGGCCTAACATTACAACAAATTTAAAGATCTTAACTGGATTTTACTTGTGATTCTGGCACTTCGTTCCAGAAAACAGAATTGAGTATTCAAGTGACCTGAGCAGAAGAGTTTTATAGACAGAAAAGGGCTGAAAAGAAAAGAAACTAGACAAAAAGTAGATTCGTTCTTTCAAAGATTACTTTTTTTTTTTTTTTTTTGTAAAGGTTAAAGCAGAGGGGATTTCCTCATCATGCTGGCTAAAATGGCCTGTTTGGGGATTTGGCTGTTAACTTTCACTCTCCTGAATTCTTGGAAGGTCAGATAGTAACTCCATTTTGATTTGGTCTGTTGGGCCTAGTGTAAGAACTGTCCAAACAAATGGCCTCCTATAAATTTCATCCAGAATGCACAACAGAGGCAAACATCAAACTCAGGATAGTGGTTTCCTCTGGGGTTGAGGTAGGAAGATACCGTAGGACAAGGGACTACGGGGAACCTCTTTGAAGTATTATTCCCTAGGGACCAGCAGATGGCATGGTGGTTAAGGCACTGGACTTCCACATGGTTGACTGTGGTTTGAGTTCCAGACCTGGTGGCTTGCTTTCTCACTTTCCCTTTTTCCCTCTCTCTGTCTCTCTCCAGTCAAGTTAAAAATAATAACAAAACTTTTTTTAAAAAAGTATTGTTCTTTAGGAAGAGGGTGAGAAAAACAGACCCTCGCTCTGTCTCTCTCCAGTCAAGTTAAAAATAATAACAAATAAAACTTTTTTTTAAAAAGTATTGTTCTTTAGGAAGAGGGTGAGAAAAACAGATTCTCCTTTGTACCGGTTTGTGTATATGAAATAGTTCATTATTTGTTTTGAGAAAAGCTATAAACAAGTAATACTGACTTCTTTGTTTCAGATTATTTAATTTCATTTATTATTATTATTTTAAATTTACTATAGGGCACATGAACTAACCAGAGAGAGACAGAGAGAGAGGAAGGTGAGAAAGCAAGCTGCCAGGTCCAGGAACTGAATGGTGACCGACCACGTGGGAGTCCAGTGCCCCAACCATCACAGCACCTGCTGGTCCCAACTACTGATTCTTTTAAAACTAGAGAGGCAGGGCCGGCTGTTTGAGTCTCAGACCTGGCAGCATGCTTTCTCACTTTCCCTTTCTCTCTTTCTCTGTCTGAATAAATTAAAAAATAATAACAAATGGAATTAAATAAATAAATAATTCTTAAACAAAACAAAACTAGAGGGGTCATAGAAAAATCATCTAATTTAGCTGATTGGGAAATTAAGGGCCAGAACCAGCAGCTTTCTAGTTTCAAAAAATAACTAGACAAAAACCCAGATTTCTTGTTCCTTTATTAAATCAGTAGTTTGTGAGTATAGCTCCTTTTATTTTCCTTTTCCTTTCCTTTTCTTTCTTTCTTTAAAAGTTTGCTACAAGGTAGGTGTGCTCGCCGGACAGAAACAGAGTGAGAGGGAAAGTGAGAAATCACCTCCATAGCGCATGGTCACGTGGCAATCCCTTCTCCATTTTTCCCTCCTATTGGGATCCTGGGTGCACGTGCATGCGTGCACACACACATACACACGAGTTGTGTGCTCAACATGTTTTTTCAAGCCACTGGGTCCAGGACTTCAACCATGCAGTCAGTCACGTGGGCTCCAACCACCTGAACTACCATACCACCAGCTGGTCCATGAGCAGAGTTTTTAGAGAAGGAAATGATAATCACTTAAGATTTTCGTACAGTTTTTTGTTTTTTGTTTTTTGTTTTTTTTCTGAGAGGTTTTTGCTATAGGGTGTGTGTGCTTGCCAGAAAGACAGGAGAGAGACAGAGAGACAGAAAACGACAGATCACCCCCCCCAGGGGGTAAGGCCATGCCGCAATCCCTTCTTCTCCATTCTCCTCTCGGGATCTTGGGTGCACACACACATGTGCTCGGCATGAGTTTAAGCCACCGGGTCCAGGACTTGAACTGCGATTGACTACATGGGAGTCCAGTGACATAGCCATTATGCCAACTGCTGGTCCCCACGTACAGTTTTTAAGCCAATTTCATTTTCTTTTTTGCTATAGTTACTTGACTGTAGAAAAGGGAAATACTGTAGGTTTATTATTATTTATTATAACAAATCATTTGATGAAGACTGTGAAATCCTTGTGAAATGATGCAGCTTGATGTTAACTACTTCTATCAGATGCGATCATTGGTGGTCTAAGAACACTAGAAGATGATGATTAATCACAAACTAGTGTCAATCATTATTCCTAACCATGCCCTAGTCAACATATTTATCAAGGCTTTACATAAAGACAAATAAAAAATGTTAATGAATATGTTGCTAAACCAGACGCTTACACACAACATGTACAGTGTATTTAGGGTTCTCAGGACTTGAACCAGGAACCTTCCCATGTGACACAATCTGGCAGAATCACACATTCTACTACTATAGGTCCCTGTACTTAAGCACATTTTCTTTACCTGGACTGTCAGACTCCATTAGACAAGTCCTGGGTCTTGCTTGTTTTGAAATGCTCTAGGTTGGTGCTTGGCTTGCAGTAGGTGCTTGACAAGTACTTGTTGATCTTTAACTGAATTGCATGAAAAGATTATAATTTCAAGACTCCAGGGGACAGTAGGAATGGATCTAAATCAATCAAATGTTACTTAAAAAATACAAAACAATGGGGCCGGCAGGTGGTGTGGTGGTTAAGGTGCTGGACTCCCATATGGTTGACGGAAGTTCAAGTCTCGGACCTGATAGCTTGCTTTCTCACTTTCCCTTTCTCTCTGTCTCTCTTTGGTCAAGTTAGAAAGTAATACATAAAATTAAATAAATAATTCTTTAAAAAGTACAAAACAAATACTTGTTTGGAAATTAAAAATAAATGAACTATACAAAAGGAGGAGATGGGGAATATTTGATAGTGGTTCACCTAATTCTCCCAACTCTGACATTTTTTTTTTTATTTTTGGTGAGGGCTGGTTGCTGACTTTAAGCTTTCTGTGAGCAACTGTTAAAAATAATTTAATTCTTCACATCCTTTGCAAATCTCTGGATCTCCTAGCTGCATGAAGATTATGCCAGAAGTAGAGCAAGGTGAAATGTGCAAATTAAGGATGGTCACAGGCCTATTTTCTCTGGCTGTCTCTGTCTAGCTGGGAGAGCTACGTTTTAAAAAGGACAAACAGGTGCTTGTCCAGAAGATGGCATCCAGCGTGGCGGGAGGCTTGAAATCTTGTCAAATAAAGAAATAGCTGAAGGGTCAGAATTTTTTTTTTTTTTTCCTTCCTGCAGAAAAAGGTGAAAGAGGGTTGGGGATGGAAATTGGAAGCTGTTTCAAACAACATGATGGTGTTATCTAGGAAATAATGAAGCCTTACTCTGTTCTCCAAAGCGCAGAATTAAAACCAATGGAACTTGGAATGCAACCTATCTTAGCCCAGAAAACCGTCTAATATTCACAATTATCCTGAAATGAATGAAATGAGGCACCTGAGGGAGGTAATGCGATTTGGAACCTGCAGAGGTTGAAGGCATACAGCCTGCCCTAGAGGTCTGTCGAAGGCACTTCTGGGTTGGGAGAGGTTTCACTAGAGAACCTGTTACACGACCCAAGTAACCGCCATCTCAGTGTCTGCACCTATTTTCTAGCATTTACCTCACATCTCGTAGTTATTCGTGTATATATCAGTCTTATCTCTCCCAATTAGCGACAACGCTAGGATATCCTGTCGTCCCTCTCTCGCCACCTCTGAGGATGAGATCAACGCTGAGGAGCAGAGGAAGTGGCAGAGTAGCATGGTTCCCCCCAACAGCTGCAGCCTAACTGATGAAGATCTCCCTAGGCAGCTTCCGGACCTTCTTGGACCCGCCTGTAAATACCACAAGGCCCTGAGAGTTCCCCAAACGACTTTCGAAACTTCAGGACTTCCGGGCGCCCAGGTCCCGCGACTCTCTCCCCGAACTAGGAACTACTCTATGGTAGAGAGCTCAGCCCTTCTAGCCTTCTAGCCCTCCAGCTGGCCCCATCTATGATTTTCGGAGACGGCACCGGAAGTTCTCGTGTGAAATGCGTTGGGAGGCCGGAAGTGGCGCCTTCATTACTCGCCATTTCAAAATGCTGCTTGGGCTTTAGGACCTGTCACTGCCACCCTCCCCCCGCCCCGGCTCGGCGGGGGAGCGACTCATGGAGCGCCCGTAAGGTGTGGCTCAGGGTTTGGTCGGCGGGGCGCGAGAGGACGGGAGGTCGGGAGGGGAAGGAGGGGAAGTGGAGAGTGGGGAGCTGGCGGCGGCGCGGCCAGGGCTGCGGGCTGCGGGCTGCGGAGCGGGTGGAGCGACGCGGTGGTGTAATTTGGGCCAGCAGGTTGCACACCTAAAACCGGAGCGGTGGGGTGACCGCGTTTCTCTGGGCGCGACATTTGAGGGCTAGCGAGGCACCTCGTAGGAAGGCGGTGGGAGAGGGGGAAGCGGGACAGTGACCCTGCTGTGTTTTAAGATTTTGAGATAGGTATTTTGAGGGTTGCAAACCTTCTGCCTCAGAGGTATTCGAGTATTTATTGGAAAACAAATGCTGAGTTTGGGAGGCCGCACCCAGACCTTCCGAAACCGTATCAGGATTGGCGCTCGGAGATACGGGTTTACTGGCATACCTCGCAGCGGTTTTTGTCTGCCCTGAAGTTTGAGAAAATGCTACTGCTCTTTTCCTGCTTCAGGGTCTGTGTGAGCTCCGAGACCCCCAGGATGTCGGCACGCGGAACAAGCATCTGTCAGGGACACTCGGAACCTATTAGTATCACGTTTTACTACATCTTAGTGTAGTTCAGACCCCTCCGTCCTCACTCATCCCTGAGGTGAAAAGGTAATTTAGTGTAAAAGTATTTATTCCACAGTATTTTGTTTCACAGTATTGGTGAGGATAGCAAAGAGTATTTTTTAACGAGCCCAAATCGTGCACACCTGTTAAGAAAATGTATAATCGCATGCACGAGTGTGTAAAGGTAGCAGTCCAACATCCCTAACCTGTCCTTTCTTCAGGAGGACACTGTTAACTGTTTTTTTTTTTTTTTTTTTTTTTTTTTTTTTTTTTTTTTACAGTTTTTTAAGAGGTTTTTGCTATAGGGCGAGTGTGCTCCCCAGCCAGCCAAACAGACAGACAGACAGCGAGAAATCACCCCCCAGGGGGGATGGCCACACCACAATCCCTTCTCCATTCTCCTCTCGGGATCTTGGGCACACATGCACCCAGTGTGAGTTTTAAGCCACTGCATCTGGGACACAAAACGTGGTTGACTACATGGGAGTCCAGCGACATAGTCATTATGCTAACTGCTGGTCCCTGACACTGTTAACTGTTTGAAGTTATTCCTCCTGACTTCTTATGTATGTATATATTCAGATTTTAAAAGAATAATTATTTTGTTATCGTTATTTTTCAGTTTTGACCAGAGAGCAAGCCAGCAGGTCCGGGACTTGAACCGAGGTCAGCCATATGGGAGTCCATTGCTAGTGTGGGGATCTTGGCATGTGTTATTTTTCCCTGGAAAAGAACCAAAGTATATGTGAGAACTCCACACTCCAGTCCCCATCATGCCCGATAAGCTAGAGTAAGGCAGGAAATGAGCACATAGGAAAAAGCCCTAGATACTGAAAAACCACAGCCACTGTCTTGGGCTTTCCAGGCTCCAGAACCATAAGCTTAATACATTTCTATTCTTTAGAAATCACCTAGTCTCTGGTATTCTGTTTAGCAACAGCAAATGGACAGAAGCAGTTTTTATATTTTGTTCCCCAGAGAAAAGCATTATGACAGCGAATTGGCAAAATCTAAAGATGAAGAGTTGTCCTCTTCACAAAAGTGACTTCCTAAAGTCACTTATCACATATTTTTCCTCAAGTTCTCACAAGTATGAGCTTCAGTTATGTTCTGATTGACTCTTGAGTGCTGAACTAGGGTTGGGTCTCAGCAAGTATGGAAAAAAGAGGTAACAAAGCTATTCCCCCACAGCCATGTGGGGCTGACTCCTATTCCAGGTCAACCCCCTCTTTCCTACAATCAGTTCAAAATATCACCCATTTGTTTCTCACAGAATTTTACCTTTATGTTCCTCCAGGCGTGATTTAGGGGAAAGGAGACAGCAATCATGCTAGTTCGGCATCCTGGCAGGAACAGGAATTGGCTAGTTTGCATTTCGAAGAATAGAAACCACAATAAGTGTTTCTTACATTATTTTAAAACCTAAAAGAAACTATTGTGCTAAGGCCCGGCAGGTGGCACAGGTGGTTGAAGTGCTGGACTCCCACTTGGCCCACCAGTGTAGGAGAGTAGAGAATGTGCAAATACCCATACACTTAGAGAGAATTTAATTTAATACAGGACAGTGGTGCTGTCAGTCAGTCAGGAAAGTCACGTTCAGTAAATTGAACTGGAAAAATGGCTGTTCTTACAGAGAAAAGAATGCAGTTGTGGAACCAGCAGTTGGCATAATGGCTATATCGCTGGACTCCCATGTAGTCGACTGTGGTTCAGGTCCCGGACCCAGATGCTTAAACTCACGCCAGGTGCGTGTGCGTGCATGCCCAAGATCCCGAGAGGAAAATGGATTGCGGTGTGGCCATCCCCCTGGGTGTGTGTGTGTGTGTGCACGTGCCCTATAGCAAAAAAACTCTCAAAAAAAAAAAAAAAAGGCTGTTAGTCATTAGAAAGAAAAGAATCCAGTTGAATTAATGATTTGTCAAAAATTTAAGATTTTTAGTAGACTGAACCCCTCCCCTCCCAGCCACACATATCCTAATAGGAGGTATAGGTGAATATGAAACATTGGGAAATGAAAGATTAAGCTATGTACAGGAATGTTGATAGCACTGTTCATAGTAAAAACCTAGAAAAAAGTGAAATGTCTATTGCACAGGAATATTATGCAGAAGTTAAAATAAATGAAAAATGGGGACCAGCAGGTGTCATGGTGGTTAAAGGCACTAGACTCCCACATGGCTGACCAGTTTGAGTCCTGGACCTGGAGGCTTGCTTTCTCACTTCCCTTCTGTCTCCGTCTCCGTCTCTCTCTGATCAGATTTTAAAAAATAATGAAGTTAAATAAAGTAATTCTTTTTTTAAAAAGAATAATTTTCTTTCTTTTTTATTATTATTATTATTAATTTTCCAGTTTGATCAGAAAGATGAGAGAGGGAAAGTGAGAAACAAGCCAGTACCTTTGACTACCATGCCACCTGCCGGCCCCAATAAAGTAATTCTTAAAAAAAAATCTTTTAAAATAAATGAAAAACGGACTAAAGTATGCCACAACATACCGTCATAGGATGAACCTCGAAAACATGCTAAGTGGAATAAACTAGATATATTTTATTGACAAAAGTATGATTTCACCCACGTGCAGTATGTAAAATAAGCAGATTCATTGAGACAAAAAATAGTGGTTATTAACTGCTGGAGAGAGAGGGCAGTGAGTTGTTGTTTGCTGGGTATGGGGTTCAGTTTGGGAGGAAAAAGTTCTGGAGATGGACAGTGGTACTGATTCTGCAACGTTAGGAATGCACTTAATGTCACTGAATCATACACTTAAAATGGTTAAAATGGTAAATTTTATGTGTATTTTGCCACAATTAAATTTTTTTTTTTAAATGAACAGAAATAACAGGGCCAGCAGATGGCATGGTAGTTGAGGTGCTGGACGCCCAACATGGCAGACCACAGTTTTGAGTCCTGTACTTGGTGATTTGCTTTCTCTCTCTCTATCTGGTCAAATTGAATACTAATAAAATTAAAAATAATAAAAAATAAACTGAAATGACACAACTGTAAGAATTAATCTATTTTAGTGAAACAAACTCTCCAAATTACATGTAACATACTTTCCTTTTTTTTTCAAAGAATTATCTTACTCAATTTTATTTATTGTCATCATCTTATTTTTAATTAATTAATTTATTTTGGAGGGAGAGGTTTTTTGCTATAGGGCATGTGTGCTCGTCAGAAAGACAGAGACAGAGACAGAAAGTGAGAAATCACCCCCCCGGGGGGATTGCAATCCCTTCTCCATTCTCCTCTTGGGATCTTGGGCATGCACACACAAAGCACCCAACATGAGTTTAAGCCACCAGGTCTGGGACTCGAATTGGGGTCGACTACATGGGAGTCCAGTGACATAGCCATTACACCAGCTGCTGGTCCCATATTTTTTATTTCTTTTAATGTTGACTGGAGAGAGAGAGGGGGAAAGTGAGAAAGCAAGCCTCCATGGGACTGCTGGTCCCATATTTTTTATTTCTTTTAATGTTGACTGGAGAGAGAGAGGGGGAAAGTGAGAAAGCAAGCCTCCATGGGAACCAGCAGGTGGCATTGTGGTTAAAGTGCTGGACACTCCCACATGGCTGACCACAGTTCGATGTCTGGAGAGAGAGAGAGGGAAAGTGAAAAAGCAAGCCTCCATGGGAACCAGCAGGTGGCATTGTGGTTAAAGTGCTGGACACTCCCACATGGCTGACCACAGCTCGATGTCTGGACCTGGTGGCTTGCTTTCTCTCTACCACAGTCAGCCATATGGGAGTCCAGCTGCCTTAACTACCATGTCATCTCTTGGCCTCAATACTTTCCTTTTTTAAAGTTGAGAGTAACTGGAGCCAGCAGGTAGCATGGTGGTTAAGGTGCTGGACTCCCATATGGCAACTGGTGTTCGGATGATGACAGACCTGGCAGCTTAAAAATCATGCCAGGTGCATTTGTGTGCATACCCCAAATCCTGAGAGGAGAACGGAGAAGGCATTGCAGTGTGGCTATCTCCTAGGGCTAAGGGGGAGGCAGTTTCTCACTTTCCCTCTATCTGTGTGTCTCCAGCATGTGCATGCACCCTATTGCAGAAACCTAAAACAAAAAGAGTAAACTAAAAATACACTCTCTTTCTTTTGTTTTTTTTTTTGAGAGGTTTTTGCTATAGGGGAGGCGCGTTAGCCACAAATTTTTTTGAGAGGTTTTTGCTATAGGGGACGTGCGTTCGCCAAAAAGACAGAGAGAGACAGAGAGACAGAAAGTGAGAAATTACCCCCCACCCCCCCAGGAGGATGGCCACGCCATAGTTCCTTCTCTTCCATTGTCCTCTTGGGATCTTGGGCACATGCGCCTGGCGTGAGTTTAAGCCACCAAGGCTGTGACTCGAATTGCGGTCGATTACATGGGAGTACAGCAATATAGCCATTATGGCATCTGCTGGTCTCAAGAATTATTCTATTTAACTTTATTTATTTATTTTAACTTGACCAGAGAGGGACAGAGTAAGAGAGAGAGAGAGAGAGAGAAGGAAAGTGAGAAAGCAAGCCACCAGGTCCAGGAATGGAACCATGGTCAGCCATGTGAGAGTCCAGCACCCTTAACCACCAGGCTATGTACATACTCTAAGGATACTTTTTTGATTCATGAAAAGGAAAAGCAAGGGAATGAGAAAAATTCAGAGGGATTCAGGATGATTGCTGCAGGCAAACGGAAGTGGAATGGAGAGTTTATGGCAAAAGGTAGGTTATTGTGAAAGTCCTGATTTGTGGATGCTACTGCATTATTAAGAAGGCTATGTGTGTGAAGGAAAGCATTATGATTAATTTTGTAAATTTGAACTCTAATGGGGAAAATATTGCGAAGCAGGAACTCAAAACTTGTCTGAGTTTGAAATTTTGACTCCATCTACTTACTGATTATATGATCTTGGGTAAATGACTTGTCTTGCCTCCTTTGTAAAACAGATGATAATAGTTTCTATGTTGTAGGGCTGTTTAGGTATAAAATAGGATTATATGCCTGCCTGACCTGGAATAAGGTCTGTGACTCCTTCCATTTGTTTGTATTGTGTACTGCTTTGTAATGAAGCATCTCAAAATCTAACGAGTTAAATCATTTTCATTTATTTCTCATTCTGTGGGCCGAAAGGCTAAATTGGACAGTTCTTTTTCTTTTTATCAGTTTGCTATAGCGCACATGCACTTGTGGGAAGTGGGGGAGCAGAGAAAGTGAGAGAGCATCCCTAGGGCAGATAGTCACAGTCTCTTCTCCATTTACTTCTAAGGATGAATGCACATACACCCCCAGTGTGTTTTTTAAGCCACCAGGTCTCAGACTCGAACCGTGAAGTTGGCAACGGTCATGTTAAGCACCATGCCACCTGGCTGGCCCAAGGGAGTTGCTGTTTTAAAGATGAATAGTCATGAAAGGCCTGTTGACAGACTGACTTCTGAGCAAAGACGGAGATGGATAGGAACTAGAGGAGTGGAAGCAAGAAAGCCTTTAGGACGCTAATGCAGTGAAGAGGTGCATAAGAGAGGTGGCTTGAATTAGTAGTGTAGTAATGTTGGAAATCATGAGAACCATTTAGATTTTGGGTGTATTTTGAAGATAGAACTTCAGGATTTATTTTTGAGCTAGGTGTGGGAATGCAAGAGAAAGAAGCAGGGATGGCTTCAGTGTTACTGACCTGAACTGGCAGGTTGGAGTTGCCATTTACTGAGACAGGGAAGATTACAGGACTGGCACGTTTGGGGACATTAGATTGTTTTTTGTATTTGTTAGGTTTGAAATGCCAGTTAAAGTTCAGCTTTAAAATTGTAAATTGTGCTTGTATCTTATTTGGCTTCTATTTCTTAGTATTGAGGCTCAGGACACTACAAAATATGAATGTAGGAAGCCAGAGCATGCCACCCTAAAAATATACTTCTTAGGCATATTTTAATCTGGTCATTCTGAGAAACTGCGGTGTTGGAGTAGCTCTGAAAAGCTGTCCTTTTGTAAAAGCAATGTACACTTACAAAGGAGATGAACATTAGTAAAATACCTGTACTGGGAAGAGGGCTGCTCCAGACGACTTTCGTTATCTACTTTCATTATCTATGTAACAAGACCATCTTTTTCCATACAGTTCCTCCCCTCCCCTTCCATAACTTGTGTGACTGGCCACCAGGCCACCAGATTCTTTTATGTAGCTCAGAATACCATTTAATAAATCATCTGGTCCTCCTTCACATCTCAAGTTTTGTGAGATTTCTGTGTGTAGATTTGTAATTAAATATGGTTTTAATCATGTTAATCTGTTCTGTGTTAGTTGAATTGGTAGACTAGCCAAGAGTTTGGAAAGGTGGGAGAGAGCCCTTTTCTGCTCCTCTGCAGCAGCAAGTGAGGCTAATGGCCCTCATAAACCTCCGTAGAGAGACTGTCCTTAGCCTCAAGGTTCAGCCAGCATATTTGTGTTTGTATGTTGTCATCACCTTTTTCCTGATATGGCTTGTTAAGTTATAAATCTTACTAATTGTTACCTTTTTATTGGAAAATGCCTGAAGGTAAACTCAAACAAGTGCGTTTACAAATTTATTTTTGTTTTATATAACAAAGATTTTTAAAAAATATTTAATTTTATTTATTCATTCATTTTTATTTTAATTTGACTAGAGAGAGTCAGAGAGAGAGAGAAAGTGAGAAAGCAAGCCACCAGGTCTGGGACTTGAACCGTGGTCAGCCATTTGGGAGTGTCCTGCACCTTAACCACCACGCTACCTGCTGATCCCCACAAAATTTCTTTTTAAAGCGAAAAAGTAGAAGTGAAGTGTTTTAATTAAACCTAACTCTGTATTTCAGTTCATCCAGGATGATGGCATTTTGTCCATCTTGGTTTAACCCATTTTGTAGGTACTCTGGTTGCTGTGATCTTTTTGATCTGGTCCATTTAAAAGCTATTTTCACTAATACTGAAAATTATGACTGTCAAAATAAGGTAGGAGACAGGGACGCTAAGAATATAGTTAGGGTCATGGCCTGGAGTAAAGAGCGCCTGGGGATCTGAAGCCAGAGTGTCTCAGCTCACCCTCATGAAGGAGAGGGTTTCTTTTTTTTTTTTTGGAGAGGTTTTTGCTATAGGGAGTGTGTGCTCGCCAGACAGAGACAGAGAGACAGAAAGCGAGAAATCACCCCCCGGGGGGATGGCTACACCGCAATCCTTCACATCCTTCACACTCTTCTTCTCCATTCTCCTCTCAGGATGTTGGGCACGCACATACTCCCAGTGTGAGTTTTAAGCCACCGGGTCCGGGACTCGAACTGCGGTCAACTACATGGGAGTCCACGGATATAGTCATTACACCAACTGCTGGTCCTGAGGGTTTCTTTTATGTTCATGGAGGTTAGGCTTAGTGGGGGTAAGCATACATGAAACATATGGTGGGTCTTTTTATTTATTTATTTATTATTTTTTTTAATTTTATTTTTTGGAGAGGTTTTCGCCATAGGGCGCGTGTGCTCGCCAGACAGACAGAGA